CATGTACTTGCCAGAGAGACAGAAAGCAAGAAATGCCCCCCCCCTTCCCCAGGGGGGATGGCCATGCCACAATCCCTTCTCCATTCTCCTCTGGGGATTTTGAGCATGCACACACACCCAGTGTGACTTTTTTTTTTTAATTGATCATTTATTTAAATCATATAAGTCTTTGACATTCACTTGCCATTGTTTTCCTATAGTCCAAAATAAATTATTTATTTCAACATTTGAGTCTTAACAGGGTGTTATTAGGTAATTATGAGTTGCTATTAGAAGCTGTTGGCTTCAAAAACCAGTAGTGGTTCTTTCACAGAAACACAGTTTCAGATGAGGATATTCAGTCTTTTCCTTAAGTATGAATTCCCGCATAGGAGAAAAAATAGGTAAACTTTCGATAGACATGAGTCACTCTGTTCACCTTGAAGGCAATTAGCCACCAGACTCATTCAGTCTTTCTTGGAAAAGGGACATGTGATCTATACATTGTTGTACAACTTCACAAATGAAAGCTCTAGTCCAAAAGCTTGGATGCTGAGGTATAGCCCTTGAGGATGTTTCCTTCTCTGAATTTTTTTAAAAGAATTATTTAATTTTATTCGTTGTCATTATTTTATTTTACTTTATTGAAGTTGACCAGAGAGATACAGAAAGAAGGAAAGTGAGAAAGCAAGCTACGGGTCTGAGACTCAAACCAGTCACGTGGGTGTCCAGCTGCCTTAACCACCACATCACTTGCTGGCCCCCCTTCTCTGAACTTCCTTTTTTTTAAAAAAAGAATTATTTAACTTTATTTATTTTAATTTGACCAGAAGAGGGAGTGTGTGTGTGTGAGAGAGAGAAAGAGAGAGAGAGAGAGAGAGAGAGAGGGCGAAAAAGCAAGCCACCAGGTCCAGGACTGGAACCATAGTCTACCATGTGGGAGTCCAGCACCCTTAATCACCATTCCACCTGCCTGCCCTCCCCTTCTCTGAATTTTCTAGTAATATGATATTTCAGCCAAGATGTCTTTAATGGTAACAACATTATCTGTATCTTTTTAGGCAGTCTGGACATTGAGAATTAATTTTTCTTGTTTTGTTGTCTGCCATTCAGAATTCTTTATAACATTTTTCAGGCTGAGGTACGTGCCTCAGATCTTTCCCGATCTCACTTCAGCTTCTAGGCTTTGTATAGTGAGTGGGGTTTTCTCATGACAGACAATCAAGTCTTCACCCACATGTTTTGCAACTAACTGCCTCTCAGTGTCATAACTCATCAGGAAAAACACAAAGTCTGTGTTCTTTGAGGTTTTCCCACATTCTAAACACCTAGATATCTTCTCTTTTACATGGATTTCTTCATGGTGACTCCGATACAGATTTTGACCGAAGTGTTTTCCACAATGAGAATAGGAATAGGACTTTGCATGAAATTGCTCATGTTTTTGAGGTTTGTTTTATGACTGAAGCTTTTCCCACTGCGGCTAGTCATAGGCTTCTCTCCAGTATGAGTCCTGTGGTGGGAAATAAGGTAAGAGCTTTCATTAATCTGTTTCCCACATGATGGACAAGTGTATCATCTTGTTCTTCAAGTAAGTTCAGTGAATCAATATGCACACAATTCAAGAGTTCCTTCACTGGAGTATTATTTTCAATGGTAATTAAAAAATCTCTCATTCTTCTTTGTTGTGGAATGGTTATATTTAGTCTTTCTTCTTCATCGAAATCTGGAAGTTGCCTGGATAGTAAGGAACAATCCATTTTACCTGAATCTGAAGACCTTTCTCCACCATCTGCATCCTTGACAGGTTCCTTTTCAAGTTCTTCACCCTCAAGATTATTATTATAGACTAGTAACATTCTCTCTTCAGCACTGTTGTCATCTTTCACTGAGGTGGGCTGCTGAACAGGATGCAGGCTCACACATTCTTCCTGCCAGGCAGAACTGCTTGCAGTACCAGGCAATCTTTCCAAGAGCATCTGTTGGCTTTGTTGAAATCAACCTTAGTTTCTTAGCTTTCTGGTCATAACTTCAGATATGATATGCCAGTCAAATCCCTGGCAATAACCAATGTTTCCAATTTCAATATTTTCCAATCCAGGGGGTCAGGAAGAGATAAATGTTTGTTAAAATTTCAAAAGGAAGAAATTTAACAAATTGCTGAGCCTATCAACAGCTCATGAAAATCCTTAAATCCATTTCTGCCGACTGGTCAGGTCCTGAGTTCTCTTGGTTGTGACTTCTGGAAGAGCAGGGTAGCGTTGGTTTATTCCGCTCACCATGCCAAATCAGATGTTTACCAAATCTTCCAATCCAATGCCATGTTTCCTTCATCGCAAAACTGAAATCGCCATGGGTCAACGGCACCTGGTCAGCGGCCAATCCCCCAGATGGTCCCTAAGACAAGGTGCTCAGGTAGCTGCAGGACAAGTTCTGAGGGTGGCCATTGGCCAAGGGTCACTATACCTTGGGCGAGATACCCACACAGGACCTGAGTCCTATCTGGGTTGCCAATAAAATGTTACCAAACTCAAATCAGGTTCACTCACCCAAACACTATAAAATCAAACCACAGACACATGGTGTGATAAAGCAAAGTACAGGTTTATGGCAAAGCGCAAAGCAAGGAGAGCAGGCAGCTCATACTGAAAAGGCCCGGTCTCCCCCAGTGTGACTTTTTTAAGATATGGGTCTGGGACTTAAGCTGTGGTCCATTACATGGGAGACCAGTGACAAAACCATTATGCCATCTCCTGGTTCCATCCTTTTACTTTGTATTTTTCTCTTTACCTGGTTTATTATATTTATGTGACAAAGTATTCCAAAACTTAGTTGCTTAAAACAAGGACCTTGTATCTTACAGTTTCTGAGAGTTTAGGAATCTAGGGGTGCCTGAGTGGTCCTAGCTAAGGTTTCCCCGAGGAAGTTGTAGTCAGAATGCTGCAGAGGTTACAGTAAGCTAAAGGCTTGACTAGGCTAGAGGATGGCCTTCCATGGTGATGCACATGGCTTTTGGCAGGTTTTAGTTCTTGGACAACTGGATGCCTCTCTAGGCTGCTTGAGTGTCCTCAGAACATGGCAGCTGGCTTCTCCAAGAAACTGGGGCTCAGAGTGAATGAAAAATAGAGCTCTCAGGAAAACGCAATGCCTTTTATGACCTAGCCACTGAAGTCAATGCCACTTCTGCTTTAACCTATTAGAAGAGTCATAATCCCAGCCCACACTTGGGGGAGTTAGACTTTACCTCTTCAGAGGGAATACCATTGACTTTGTAAACATATCTTAAAATCACTTACCCAGATATATAATTTTTTTAACATCTTACCATTTTTTTTTTATAATTCTTTTCTCCAAATATATGTGTATGTGTGTATACACATGGTATTTTCTGACTGACTGGATGCATAGCATCCCTTTGCTCCTTAAGACTCTAGTGTTCATTTAGTTTTTGCTATAGGGCGCATGCACTCTCCAGAGAGAGAAAAAAGAATTCACCCTCCAGTGGGGATGGCTATAGTGCAGTCTCTTATCCTCCATTCTTGGGGTTTGGGACATGCACACACATGCATCTGGTGATTCTCAAGCCACTAGTGTCTTAGCACTCAACTACGAAACAAGCCAGCACCTTCTGAATGCCACTTGCTGGCCCCAGTGTTTATTTCTTAAGGAAAAGGATATTCTCTTTATACAGCATAGTACTAACTCAAGATTTAACGTTGTGATAATACTTTACAGTCCACACTTCACTAATGTCAGCTGTCCCAACACTCTCTCCCTCAGACTGATTTTTAAACAATACAGTAAAAAGGTAGGGGCCACCAGCAAAGTATGACTTGGCCACGTATGGTTTACAGGCAAGGTCTTAAGAAAGGTCCCAGGACTAGGGAGCTGGTGTAGACAAGCATGATCTGACTCCTACTGGGATCGGAGTAGCAGGACAAAAACTAATTCTGAAGAACCAACTTATCTTTACCTCTTAGGTTTCCCACTATTTCTGGAAAATGATCCCCTTCAGTTCCGTCTGTGTTAGAACACAGTGGGAGATTGTGCTATTCGTTTAGGATGTCTGGCCAGCATTCCAGGGCAGCCATTCACCCACGAACAGGTAACATCTTTCTGAAATATAAATTTCTTCCTCTATGAAGTGTGGGAAGTGGGAGATAAGGGCCGGTCCGACCTAGAACTGCTGTGAGGTGGAGCTGGCTGGCGAACTGAAAGCACCCGGCTCAGCCTGGTCAGCCTGCGGGCTTCCGTCCGAGCGCGGCGACTGCGGAGGGCCGGGCTGGCGGGCGGGGCGGCGTCACGTGGGCGGGGCGGGACGGACGGGCTCGTCCGCCGATC